GGCCGGTGAACTCTGGTCCTCTTTAGGATACTTCTAATAATAATATCGAATAGATAAAGATGGCATATTCTGGGGTTTTTGGTGGACTATATAATATAGTTACTATGAAAAAATTGTTAAATAAAAAATAAAAACAGTAGGATGCTCTTTAATCAAGCCAAAAACAAAAAACAGGTTTTTGGCCAATCTTAAAAGAATGTAGTAAAAATTTTCAAGAAGGCCTTAAAGAGGACGCAAGTTGAAACTTCTTCAAAAATATGGAAAAAAACCCTGGGCCAATTGGCTGCGAAGAGTTCTTTCACAAGACGTTCCAAATATGTATGAACTCTATAGGCGCACAGTGTTTCGACTATATGCACCTAGGTGGAAAAGTCATGGTGACAGTTGATAAAAAAAATAGTTAGGCTTAGAGAGGGAAAGGTAAAAATCCTAAATGCAGAATTGCAGATCATTTACTCACCCCTTCTCCAAGAACGGTACATTTCCAAAAAAAAAAAAAAATACTGGAATCGGTACGATACCGACTAATCACTTTAGTTGCCTTTGGCCCTGAATCCTTTAAAGCAAGTGTTTCTTTTTCAATTGTAATCAATTCTTTAAGTGTCGTGGAATATTTAAGTGAAGGTATTTATCATTTATTTGGTATTTTCCTATTTTTATTATAGAAAATTTACTCTGAAATGTAGATGCTAAAGAATAGTAATAAAAAAGTAATAAAATGTTTGAGGGAATTTTCTGTACTTTTCGAATATATAATTGGATCTTTTCGCGCGACTTTGCAAATATAAGTAATTTTTGATTTTCGTAATTTTCATTTTCTGCTTCTTTTTGCGTAATTTCGCGAAAAGATTTTTTTGAACAATGGAAAAATCGCACCAAATATTGGGAGAAAAGGGGATATTTACAACTACGTAATTTTTAAGTAAAACCTTTGTTTTCTGAGAGTGGAAAGCAAGAAACAAAAATTAATGAAAATTTCATCACATCTAATGACTGGGAGAACATTTTTTGCGAGTTGTAGGCGTTCCCCATATTTTATAAATTTCATAAAGTACTGAAAATAACGAATAACAGCCACAAAGCAAATCGATGCGTTAAATATGTATGCATGTAGAAAGCACTGAGTAGCTCATCATTACTGTAATTGATTTAGCTTAGTATATACATAAAAACGACCGTGTTTACATATGCACATATATAAGTAAGCATTAAGTACTTTGATGCTGAATTTGTCGGCAGATAATTTCAGATTTATTTTTTGCAAAAACATATGGCTACCCGTATGTATTCGTAGGCACATGTGCTAGTAGCTGCACCATTTGAGAAGCTAATAAATAAAACAGGTAAAGACAAATGGCACTGGGTGACCGCGTACACGCAAGTCGGTCGAGCAACACTGTATGAAGTGAAATGCATAAACTTGAACTAGTTTTTTTTACATAATAGAACGTTTTTTGTGCATGTACTTCAGGGCGGGTCAGTCCACAAACTAAAAAAAAAGAGTTTGCAACTACCACCTCTTGTTTAAAAGATTATTTCGTTGTCAGTAAGAATTCTGCCTTGGCCGGGCTCTAAAAATAGCCAAAATCCGTATTTTCTTCTTAAATTTTTTATTTATCGCTGAAATAGAGATAGATGATTTAGAGAAATCTATATTTGTTTCGAAAAATTTTCTGACGAGAATTGCCAACAACTCGGGAATTCAAGATCAATTTAATTGACAAGTTAAATCAAATCCTACTCTTATAATAAATTTGAAAGTTTGTGAGTGAGAGTGTGTGCCCTTTCTTTCGATAAAATTTGGCATAGAGGTAAGTAGCTTAGAACCTGGATTAACCTACCTGGCATCATGGTCAAACATTGAAAACTCGTAACTGACAATATTTCCAAAATTGAGTTACATACATAAAAAATGGAAGATTTTATTATATTAGTATATAACTAAATGTTCGAAAAAATTGCTAGTTATGAGTTTTGAATATTTGATCACGTTGTCAGTTACAAGTTGCCAATGTTTGACAACCGATATAGCATATTTTTCGGAGAGTTGCCACCTGCTTAAAAAGTAACATTTTATTCTAAATTATAAGTTCAACAAAATTTCCAAATATTGATGCAGAACGAACGAGATTTAAGAATACTTCAGTAGGAAAGCTTGCTTAAGGGGATTGTTACTTATTTAAAAATATAAATTTAATTTCATTAATATGTAATACTTCATTTTTACAATATGGGTGGTCAGCGAATGAGATTAACGAAAATTTTGTTTTAAAAATATTTTGAAAAGGTTTCCACCAGCTTAAAACTCAAGTCCAATTTTTGCATAAGTTAAGCAAAGTATTGAATGCGAAGCACGTTTTAGAAAGCTTTGTTTCGAAAATATTTTTAAAAGGGGTTGCCAGCTGCGTGAAATCAAATATCACAAAATGATTTAAAGTCAAATAAAAGATGTCTTAGGAGGCTTTATATTGAAAATATTTTAAAACGGGTTGCCACCGGTTTAAAATTCAACTAAATTTAATTAGTAATTTTCAGGAAGTATTACAGTAAGGATGTCAAATGAAATTTGTTGAAAGAAGTTGAAAGTTTTTCTATGGCGTTAAGAACAAAGCAGGTTATCCTGAGAGGCATAAAGCAGCTAGAACCGGGGCAAATATTCAAGAAAACATTTTCATCTTAGCAGGTATTTATATCTTGCTTCTTAAGCTTAAACTTCGTTAAGCACGCCGCCAAGCTGACTCTTTGCAGTTCGCCCACAGCATTCAGAAACACTCTATTGCTATTTCTCTTTAACTGCCAACATTTATCTTGCAGCCATTTACACTAGCCCACAAGCACACACTTTCGATTATTCAACATCCTAATTAGGCCATTAAGGATACTTAAGCTGCAGAATAGCAATGAGTTCGGACGTATTTGACGCAACGGTACTTGTCAATATCCCTCAACAGCCGCATTGACATGGCACCATCAGTATTAGATCATTCTTCAAAGAGTTTAGCGTTTCTATCGAGTTGTGTCATCCGGTCACTTTGTCATTTCGTGCAGAGCATTTACTACGTTTGAGGCCAATATCGACGTGACAAATAATCAAGTGTTGCCATCTTTAGTTATTGAAAGAGCGGAGTTTTCCTATTTCTAAAATTTGCCGTTACATGGTAAATAAGTGGCAGTAATTTTGGTCTGATTTAAAAAATTTTCAACATATTGCTTTTTTCGCCAAGGTTGCTAAACATGCAGAATTTGGTAGAAATTGATAAGCCGGGTACCGAGATACACATATGTAGGCGTAAGTGGGCGGTGCAACGCCCATTTTCCAAAAATTTCTCTAAATATCGATTTTGAGTAAATTGGCTTAAATAGTTACTAATTTATCGCAGATTTCGTATTTCTGTAAATTACCGTTACAAGGGAGTTGGGCGTGGTTCTTGTCTGATTTAAAAATTTTAAACGGGTTTCTTAGTGAGGCCCTACGCAATGTTCACACCGAGTTTGCTGGGGATTGGTGGGCGGGACACGCCCATTTTCCAAAAATTTCATAACTGTCTTATTTTATGCCAAAATTCTACTTCAAATACCAACTTTCAACAATTTGAAGCCAGTTTCTGCGGAAGTATACATAGGTATAATTTTTTTCAGTGTAAAAACATCTTAGGAGGTGAGATCACTTAAATTCCGTTCTTACTTTTTTTGGACCACCCTAATGTGTATATCATGTACATCATTTACTCATTTTACTAACCGCGTCATCTGTCTCGCTTTTTGGTTTTACTTGAAAAGACTGCGCAATCGCAATTCTCACGATAATTTGCGAAAAATTGTAGCATTGAAAATTTTGTAACTTGGAAATCGTTACATTTAGTGCATTTCTCTTGATCAATTTTTTTTTGCAGACTAACGGCTACATACAGCCCGCGTCAAAAGATAGCACATCAACAGTTTTATCATTTTTGGCTACTTTTCTTTTACTTTTATTAAGGTTCATTAATTTTTTATTAAAGGTCAGCTCCAAAAACCATATAAGTCCAAATTTCAACCTTGTACAAAAATTAAAAAAAAATTGCACAAACTTTTCATCTCAGATCCAAGTATTTTATTTGGATTTTCCAGATTAATTTTTAGTATGCAGTTTTATAGCTTATTAAAATCTATTACAATGCAGTTTGAAGTTCCTAAAAAATCGCATTGCTTTTTGATAATTTTTTTCTGGCGGTGTTATGCATTCTTTTCCAAAACAAAATTACTTTGTAGGGCAGAAAATGCGTGATGCCGGCAGGAAAAAAAAATTATCAAAAATCAACGCGATTTTTGAGTAAATGGAATATAGCACTTATTATTATATAGCTATTAACAAGCTATAAAACCGCATACAAAAAATTATTCTAGAAATTAAAATGTTTGGAATTATGATGAAAAGTGTGTGGAATTTCTGGAATTTTTGAACAAAGTCTGAAATTTGGATTTAAATATATGGTATTTGTTAGACAAATAGCTATACTTTTATCTATATAAAAATAATGAAAGTTAAACAAAAAAAGATAAATAGTCAAAACTGTTCTAAATATTGAGGTGCCACCGTTTTGTCGTGGGCTTTATGTATCTTGGTATACATACATATTCTTACATATGCGCACATGTCGACAGTTGGTTTCGTGGGTCTTTTCGTAAACGAGGACAAAACGAAGTATTTCCTGTCATCACACAAACAGTCAGACCATACGCGTCTTGGCACCCACGTCACTGTTGACAGTTACAAGTTTGAAAAAGTAGACGACTTCGTTTATTTAGGAACTAGGATTAACACCAATAATAATGTCAGTCTTGAAATCCAAAGGAGAAACACTCTTGCCTACAAGTGCTATTTTGGACTGAGTAGGCAACTGAGAAGACAAAAATCACACTCTATAAGTCACTCATTATGCCACTGCTGGTGTTTGGCGTGGGGGCATGTACAATGAATACATCTGATCAGGCGGCTCTTAGGGCTGGTTTCTCCAATAAGACTTAGACTTAAACTTATTTATAACTTAAGTTAGCTACGATTTTGCGCTAAGCCTTTTTTCAGTTTCTCCAACTGAGCGACTTAATAATTTTGCACACGGTAACTCTATCAGCTGTTTCTTTAAATAGTAGTCTTTTTCCTACGTTTTGGCTGGGTTGTCTAGCGTGTATATTTCAAATAGTTATGTTCTGTTGTGATTCGGTATACGTTGTAATATTTTACTAAGAATTTGGAAATATGTCGCGAAAATCTACATTTAATGCGTCCGAGACGAACAAATTGTTTGAAATTTGTGGCAAATACAGTAGTGTAATTGAATGCAAAAAAACTGACTGCATCAGTTCAAAGGAAAAAGAAGTTGCATGGGAAAAGATTACGCAGGAATTCAACGCCACAAACGAAATTTTACGCGAATCCAAGGAACTGAAAAAAAAATATAAAAACATAAAATATGTTACAAAGACCAAGGCAGCTGAAGAGCGGAGAGGCATCTATGGCACTGGTGGTGGTCCTGCAACACCTTCAACCCCTTTGACAGGTGTAGAGGAGAGGATGTTGGCAATGTTAAATGACAAAGAGATGGAGGGTATTGCGAATACTTGCGATTCAGATACTGTGCTGGCGGATGTTCATCGTAAGTTCCTAAAATTCCTAAATTGTTGAAATTCTGATGTTGTATACTTCCAGTTGCTGAAAACAATACCAGTACTTCACCCGCATTGGAAACACCGCTACCCGGTCCTGCCACACTAAGGAAGAAGATGAGCGCACCACTGTGGACACCTCGAAGACTGTGTGACAAAAACCCGAAGACCTCGTCCTGGGAGAATCTGGCTTCTATCAAAAGCAAATGGACAGAGTCTAAATTCCAGGCAGACGTTGCTTTGGCAAAGAAGGAAGAGGAGAGAGTGGAGCTACAAATGAAGCTCATGCGCGAAAGGCACGAGTTGGAGGTTCTCCAACATAAGGAACGTCAGGCCATAGAAATGGAAATACTTAGCGTTCGATTAGAAAAAGAAAAATTGGAATTAAAAAAGTTATATAACGTGTAAATATTTTTATACTCGCAGGTTCTACAATTCACTTCCGAGTAAATTTCAACCAATGCCAATTTGAATCAAAGCGGATTTTATTGAAATTCACCCGGCCGTGAATTATAGAACCTCCTGATAAATTCATATTTGTATATCGCCTGCTGCAAATGGACGAACAACGCCAGATTTTATAATGTATTTCAAAAACGCCCTATCAGCTGAGAATATGTTGAGATAGTGCGTGTTTGAAGCGGCAGTTGAGATAGAGCGTTTTTGAAACAAATTATAAAATAGGGCCTTCTTCGGCCATTTGCTAAGATAGGCCGATCTTCCAATCAGCAGACAATATACAACTGAGTGCATGGTTTTTTTTAAATATTTACAATGATTTTGAAGTTTATAAAGAAGTTGGAAAATTTAAAAAAATCAAATTTCGAACTCCTTAGGCTGGTGTCCGGTTTCACCAATAAATTTAAAAACTTATCAGACTGAACAAATTTGTCATTTTAAATTTTAACAGGCTGATAAATTTAAAATTTATTGGTGCAACCGGGCATGAGTTTATATAAAATTTTTGGGTATGTAGTTGGATCTCATGAAATTTTAGTAAAATAAGTGCAAGTTTTAAGGGGCTAGAAAATCACGTTGATTTCTAATAATTTTCTTCTGACGGCTTTTACGACTATTTTTCGATTATAGCTTTTCCATGGTATTGTGAATGTCGATTTATCGTTCAATATGCGACTGTGAATAGTTTTTAGTCGCTCATCCTTCTACAACTGTTTGTTTGTATTGTAAAAGGATGTGCGACTATAAACTATTCCCACTCACTTATTCAACGAGAAAACGACTTTGAAAATACCACGGAGAATCGATAGTCGACTAATAGTCGTTTATCTACTACTAGTCGACACTCGCAATAGGGGTGCCTATCTCAGAATTTGGTTCAAAAACACCCTATTTTAGCTGCCGATTCAAAACCGCTCTATTTCAGCACATTTTCAATGTATTTTCGTTTGAGATAGGGCGTTTTGAACCGAATTCTGGGATAGGGTGTTTTTCAATAAAATTCTGAAATAGGGCGTTCTTCAATAAAATTCTGAAGCAGGGCGTTCTTGAAAAGTTTTCTGAGATAGGGCGTTTTCCAACTGGCTCCCGAGATAGGTCGATCTTCCACTCAGTCATTCATTCATATATCAGTGGCCATGAGCAATAACCGCCTAAGTCGAAAAACCTGATTTCGAGAAAAAATGTTTTAAACATTTGGATTATAATGTTAACCTTATGGGGAAACCAAAATATGTTTGTCTTTAACCTTTTAAATAGGCTGGCTGGCGAGATGGGGATTTCACATACACATGGAATAGTCGTTGCAGAATACCATAGCATATATAACTCAATTCTTTCTTAAGTCTACTTAGGCGGTTACTGCTTATGACCACAGATATTGTATGTATTATATTCTTCCCGATAAATAATAATAATAAAGTTACATTTGAGCAAAATATGTATCTATTATTGTTTTTCTTGTTTGGTCATTTCGAGAACGTCCTTCATTTGAGCGGTTTGGTGGAACTGTTAAAACATTAGTTACGGCATCATCAATTTCCGGTACAAGTTGTGGTGCAGTTTTATCATTAAAGCGAATGCAAACATTATTCAGTACTGCTGTTGCAACAATAATGTAAGGAACTGTCGTGACCTTCATTCGAATCCCCATGGATAGCACGGGAAATCTGCGCTTCCACACACCGTATGAGCGCTCAATACAATTTCGAGTTCTGATGTGCGACTCATTATACAGATTTTCTGCTCTATTTCTACAATTTAAAAGCGGCGTCAACACGACGTTCGTGTTTTCATAACCACTGTCAGCAACAATGACTGCATTTAGAAATTCCTTCGCCTCCAATCGGTAGCTAATACGCGAATTACGGAAAATCCTTGAGTCATGAACCGATCCTGGCCATCGGGCGACAATGTCTAATATTTTTAAATTGCTATCACATATGGTTTGCACATTGAACGAGAAAAAACCCTTTCTGTTACGAAAGACTTCACCATCATCACCTCCTGTATAGAAATGGTGCTATTACTATTGTTTTTTAACTAGTAATCTTACATAATCACCTGGCGACATGATTTTAACATGGGTGCAATCCATTGCGCCAATTACACGCGGAAAATTTGAAATTTCTTTAAAAGCAGCCTGTGTGCTCAAACGCTCCTGTTCCGTCTGAGGGAGTTTAACAAAATCTGCCCGTAAAGAAGCAATATGATGAGATACAAGTTTAATAGCCCGTGATGCACTTGTTTTTGAAACGCCGCAAAGATCTGCCACAGTTTGCTGAAAAGATCCTGATGCATAGAACCTGAGTGTAATGAAAAACATTTGATGTGGTTGCATAGCGTTGTTGCTGCCAATGGAAAAGTAATTTAGGAAAAAAACATTTACATTCGTCAAATGATATGATCTTACCGTGTTCCAATATAAATTTTTTCTTTTATTAAAGAAAAAATAAACCAAGCAGCATCTTTGCACATACGAAATCGATCACGAAAATCAACATCATCGTAGTAATGAAAAAAATCAGGACGTTCTTTTATTTTTCTTTTTCGTCGAAGAACGATTACTTGTAGAACATCAAAATCGAAATCACTTTCATCTGAATCTACAAAATCCATTATTATTTACAAAAATTTACAGAAATATAAACCACTTCAAATAAAGACGCCAAGATTATTATAGCGGGGTTGCTATAGCTGTACAAACGAAATAAGTACTATTTCTTTCATTTACATTGTGCACTACAGCAACACTGTCGTAAGTCAAGAATAAGCCAACTAAAGGGTAGGCTAACTTTCGGCTTAGGTTAGCCTAGATGGTGAAAATGAATAAGCCCAAAAAATGGCTTAACTAAGTTAAGTTGAGTTGGAGAAACCAGCCCTTAAGCTACAACAAATTGCTCTTGAGGTCTTAAGCTGTAAACATTCATTTGCTTTTTGCAAATATTGTTTGTTAAAAGATTTATGTATGTAGGTACATGTGTACATATATTTGTAGATATTGATTAAATTGTGCAGCACTGATTTGTGTCTTGGAAAGCAGAAAGTTTACGAAAGAATTGTTCAACGGCTATCTTAATGCTGTTTGACCCAGTTTTTCCTTGAATTTAATTGATATATATTGATTACGATAAAATAAACTTAAGAACGATAATCTCAGGATGGAACAAGTTAAACTTAAAATAAACCATTGTTATGAA